CTTAGAATGACGGAGAAAAAGCTAGAAATGGAAAAAGCTGCAAGATCAACTCTAGCTAAACTTCCTAAATTGAAAATAACACAATTTAATGGAACAACGGCAGACTGGGTATGGTTTGAGAACATGTTTATTACACAGGTCGATTCTAAGCCAATTAGTGATGAGGAAAAGTTTGGCTATTTACTTGAAATGGTGAGTGGAAAAGTCAGGGATAAGATCTCAAACCTCAAACCGAGCTCGATTGGATATAAAACAGCTTGGGAACGACTCAAAAAGGAGTACGGTCAAACAAGGTTGGTTGTGAATGCACATATTGATGAAGTAGTAAATTTACCCATAGTACGAGGGTCTTCCTATGAAAAGATCTTGGCTTTCTACGAACGTTTGAGCAAGAACTATGACGCCCTACAGACTCTCGGTGAACATGAGAAATTAGATGGATTTGTGATGTGTACTATTAATAAGTTGCCAAATGTGAAGTCAGAAGCAGGGCCTTTTTTAAGGATTTTCCCGTGGGGGGGCATTTTTCAAAAGGGACCTTTCTGTGAGATAATATATTAGAGGGGGATAGCAATGGCTGAAAACCACGTGTGTGGCAAATATACCACGCATGAATGGGGGGTCTGGGGGTGTACTCCCCCAGAAAATTTTTGAAATTTGACTCCCGGAAATGTCATTTCCTGCATTCTGAGCATCCAAATTTGCTCCAAAATTTATCCTAACTATACTTGTATTTGAAATAAATAAAGGAAGAAACGCACAAAAAGTAAAAAAAAAATAACCATCATTTATCATTACTTATTAGAGGAGGATAGCAATGGTCAGGTGTGTGGGGGTGTACCCCCCAGAAAATTTTTGAAATTTGAACAACGGAAATGCCATTTCCTGCATTCTGAGCATCCAAAGTTGCTCTAAAATTTATGCTAACCATAGTTGTATTTGAAATAAAAGATGGAAAAATGCACAAAAAGTAAAAAAGAATATTAACTGTAATTTATCATCACTTATTAAGGGATAATCCCAAGAAAAGTTTTGAAATTTGAAACCGTGAAATGCTATTTCCTGCATTCTGAGCATCCAAAAATTTTTAAAAAATATTAACAATAATTTATCATTACTTAGTGGTAAAAAAAGTAACAATTTAAATCGACTTTGTTAAACAAGAACAAAGGATAAAGCCTAAAACTTACTCTCCGTTTATCTATTTGTTAATCTTCGCTGGATTGTTTGTATAATTTTAGGAAAAAGGGACTTTTCCTGGGGGGGCAAAATGTGATTTCGTGGGGGGGCACAAGGGGGGACTGGGGGGGGGGCAAATGCCCCCCCAGATTGTATGTTAAAAAAGGCCCTGGTAAGGACTGATGAAGATTGGGAGGAATGGAAAATGGAGAATTTAGTTGATAGTCTGCAAAAATGGTTACGAAGAAACAAAACTGAAGAAGATAAATCCACAGGTGACCCAAGAAGAAGAGAGAAAAACTTGTTTGCACGTAAAGGAGGCAAAGAGAACGAAAGAGGAAAAAAGGCACCTTGTTGTATGTTCTGTAAAGCTGAACACTGGAGTGATATGTGCAAGTCTTATGTAACCACAGCTCAAAGAAAGGCTTACTTCGGTGAGAACAATTTATGCTTCAATTGCGGTAGCCCGGGACATAGGGCTAGACATTGTCGGAGTCGTGGGTGCTATCACTGTGGGGAGAAACATCATACCAGTTTACATGACCAGAAAGAGAACAAAGGTGATGGTACAGTACTAACGGGCATTTCAACAACAACGGAAGAGATTACATTACCCCCCATAATCCCAGTTAAGGTGGACGGAGAGGTTTTCTGGGCATTTTTGGACACAGGATCGGGCAGGAATTTTATTTCAAAGGAAGCAGTAAAGAAGCTTCAAGTTTCTGCAGCACGACGTGAATCGAAGGAAATCATCACCATTAATGGAACAAAAAGACAGTCCATGCCTATTTACAATGTAACAATCGAATCATTAGATGGATCAACCAAGGAAGATATAGAGCTAGCCGGGTCGACAATGAAAGATTTCACAACAGTGAAAAGACCGGACATGAACAAACTTAAATGGAATTATGAACACACAAAGGATAAGAGGTTTTACATGACAACAGATGGTGAATACCCAATACACATGATCTTAGGTGACAACACCTTCTGCAAGATTAAGACAGAAGAAATCTATAAAGGGAAAGATGGTGATCCTATGGTTGAAGGTACTTCATTTGGTTGGATTGTTCATGGCGGAGACGTTTCGAACAATATATGTATGTTTACAAGAGAATCAAATGACTACGAGCAATTGTATACACTGGATGTACTTGGAGTTGAAGATAGAGGGGAGAATGACCAACTGGATGTTTATCATGAGTTTAAAGAGAACATTACTCGGGCTGATGACGGTAGATATCAAGTCAAGGTGCCATGGATTCCAGGACAGTCTTTACCAAATAACAATCTAGAACCAAGTCGAAAGCGATTAGCTAACGTATGCAAAAGGATCGAGCGAGATGAGAAAGGATGATTATGATGAAATTATCGAGAAGCAGTTAGAGTCGGGTATCATTGAAGATGCACCAGAGAAACCAAATGGTGAACGAGTATATTATATGCCCCACAAACCTGTCGTCAGAGAGGAGGCAACAAGCACAAAAGTAAGGATGGTCTTTGACGCCAGTGCAAAACCAAATCCTAACGCCAACAGCGTGAATGAATGTATGTTTACGGGGCCCCCGCTGCAACCAATGCTTTGGGACATTTTGATACGAGCAAGAATGGCCCCACAATTGATTCTCGCAGATATTCAAAAGGCTTTTCTACAAATTGGGTTAAAAGAAGAAGACTGCGATGCTTTCAGGTTTATATATAATGTCAATGGTATTGAAAAACATTTTCGGTTCACTAGAATTCCTTTTGGAGTCGAATCAAGTCCATTCATGCTTGGCGCGACCATACAGCATCATTTAGATCTACAGCCTGAGGAAGTGGAAGATACGGTACAGACTTTGAAAGATAACACCTACGTTGACAATATAATGCAAATCGGAAGCGATGTATCAGAATTAGAAAAGTTCAAAGTCGAGGCTACAGAAATCTTAGAAGGTGCCAAATTACCACTTCACAAGTGGGAATCCAACGTAGAATCGTTAGAAAGTGAAGACATGCCAAATCCTTCAAAAATTCTTGGACTTGCATGGGACAAGAAAGAAGACGAGTTGTACATTTCAGCACCAGAATATCCTGAAGGAGCGAAAGTTACGAAGAAGTCTATTGTGAGTCATCTCGGAAAAGTTTATGACCCTTTAGGCATAGTATCACCCACAATGGCAGAAGGTAAAAGAATTTATCGTGAAGCCTGTGATGAGACAAAGAGTTGGGACGCGGAGATTTCAAAGCCCTTAGAACAAGGCTGGTTAAGGTGGACAAGACAGTTACGAACCGTTAAAATTCCCAGAAGTATTACCAAGGGTATTCGAAAGATTAAACAGGTTCATCTTCATATCTTTGCTGACGCAAGCAATCTGGCGTGTTCGTGTGCAACAATAGCAGTTGTTGAACATTCAACTGAGACGGTGAAAGGGTTGTTGACAGCCAAGGCGCGAATTTCAAAGAGAAACACGTCAATCCCGAGATTAGAGCTAATCGGTGGTCAAATGGCTGCGAATATGGCAACGAACGTGTGTAAAGCGTTGAAACAACTACCAATAGCCTCAATAACCATATGGATGGATAGCACAGTGGCACTCTTTTGGATCTTAAATCCAGCTAGATCATGGAAAACGTTTGTAGCGAACCGAGTGAGAAAAATCGCGTCCATAACAAGTGAACTCGATATCAAGTGGAAATATTGCCCATCGAAAGAGAACGTAGCAGATTTGGGAAGTCGAGGCGCAAGCATTAATCGTATGGAAAGTAATGGATGGTTTCATGGTCCAGATTGGCTGCTAGATGAAGAGAAACAACCGGT